CTGAATTTTGGGTGATCCCCCTGTATAAGTTTGATCACGGATTGATTTACCGATTTTCTGAACACCCTAACGTCGCGTATTCGACGACCCTTTCAGATCCGGGAAGTTATGTATAAATTTATATAATTATTATAATACATCATTTAATTGTAATAAATAAGCTTATATTGTAAAAACTTTTTGTAGCTAAGCAATTTGTGTTTAAAGTCATTGGCATAAATGCTTTTTTTAAAGCTTCAGTGAATAAAATCATGGGTTGAGAGTGCACACTAGCCTAAACGGCTGCTAATTTGATTACTAATCGAGTTATCGTTATCGTTATGCCCTAAATCGGTACAGATTTACTTTGCGTTTTGTATATGTAGTCCAAAGATTATCAAATTTAAAATCATATGATATAATTTGATAAAATTTGATTTAGCGTTCAATCAAAATTGTAAATTTTTAAAATCTTGAACGTAAAAATTTGTTTAACTACTTTCGTAAGTACGTATAATTATCAATTATTAAAAATAATAGCATAAAACTGTCTTAACAGGATCACTATTTTTTTTTAAAAAAAAAAATTTATATATCATACATATTGCTGTATTGCTGTATTTTAGCCAACTCTAAGTGCAGATCTTATTAATATATTCTCAGGTATTTTTCTTTTTTTAAACAAAGTACATACGTACGTACAGTACATAAATAAGTATGGATACTAGTGCAGGTTGTATAATGCATTTAGGGAAAATCTTCAAAATGCGAAACCTGTACCAGGTACGTACGTACGTATATTTGGATTTACCCTACAATATTACAGCTCCCCCTTTTTTTTTTTTTTTTAATATAAAACTTGTTATCGTTATTGTAAATAGCAAATTTGTATTTATGGCGAGGTGGATTGTAATTATCACCTTGGTACAAATAAACAGTCCCGTTACTCAAATAATTGGTCCATTAAATGTTAGGATTAGTCATCAAATGTATTTGGCAAGGATGGCAATAAATACTACATTGAGTAGCCAATTAATGAGTACGAATGATTTCTGTACTACACTTTATTTGATATCACCAATTATTTCATCTGCAAACAAATATTATTCAGTGTGACGAAAGTCTTGTTCTAAAAAGCTTTAAGAGCTTAAAATTAAGGTCAAGAAAAATGTATTGTTTTCGTTTATTTGTAGTTGTGCTATATATGATGCTTTGTGCAATAGGTCAAAGCATATGTAGATGGAATTTGTATTTCTAAAGAAAGAGGTACATTATTTTACATCCTGAATGAAAATTTTGATAAATTTAAAATCAAACCTTCTTTCGTAATTTTATAAGGTAACGAATTGTTGACAAGTTGTAACCGAAGAGTAACCGAAGGGTTTTGAAGAAGAGATGTGGCGATTGCTGTTAACCCTGAATAAAGATCACGCAATTTCACATGACTTAAAATACAATTACTTTTTTTGAAGTTATCATAAAAAATGCAATCAACGGTCATGTGATTGGTTCAGCAAATCATCTTTGGAGTTGCGAATAAAAAATAAAAAATTCACTAAATATTACCCATGGACTATAATTTTTATGTTTTGGTGAGAAAAAATTTATTAATAAATTAATTTTTACGTTTTGATCTGTTCATCAGCGAAATGGGAAGCCAGGCACATGTGTATATATATATGTGTATGTAAATATGTATGTATGTATAATATATATAACGAAAAAAAAATAAGTGATAATGAATAATACAATTTTATAGTTGTGCGCCCTGGACTGCCTTTCCTAATTTTCAGCTTGTGTGTATATACCATGAATAATAATTTCCTGAGAAAATGTTTAAGAATCAAAAAATAATTAAGAATAAATATGTATAAGATTAGAGAAATGCGGAATATAATATATATATATATATATGATATAAAAAATTGATCCAAATGAACCGAAAGCGATTTTTTTTTGTTTTGTTTTGTTTTTTTTTTTTTTTTGTTTTTGGTCGTCATTTACCACCATTTTACCGATGTATACTCAGCGAAAAAAAAAATCAAAACTTTGATAAAAGAGAAACGAAATACTTGTAGCTAACAGTCAAAAGAAAGTTGAAAAGAAATTAAATGAAATGATTTATTCTCACCTGATTCACTCACAATCAGAAAATTTTGATTACTTCCACGAGTTATCAAATATTCCTGTCAATGCATTCATTTCTCTTGGTGTCGTCACTCGCAAAGTATCCGCAATTGTGTTCTTTTGATCATACGGACCAGGACTTGGTGTTCGATTAATGTTTATTAGTGACAATCGTTTCCCATTGATTTCTCCCCTTGTATTAATCCAAAGGCCATGGCCATCAGAACCATTCCCATTCTTAACTATAGAATCAGTTCCATCTTCTATGGGGATAGGTATTTCTTCTTTGACAAAGGCTTCAGCTACATTATCTAGAGCGGAAGGAATAGCAAGGTCTATAGCTTCGTGAACGCTTAGACGATCGTGATTCTCAATGTCACGTTCGAAGATCGAATGTCGTGAAGGTGTCGGACTAGGAGTGCGTAAATCTTCAGGTGTTAAGTTATAATCATTGGAAGGTCTAGGACTGGTTGGTGAACGACTTCTCGAAGAATGTTCACTTTTAGTTGAGTTTCTACGAGCAAAGGCCGCGAAGAATGACGGTCGCCCCGATTTATGACTAAGGCTTCTTACGCTTTGGGTAGGACTAGCTGGAGCAGGTGTAGTTTGAGAGTCCTCTCTTCCTTCTACGGTAGAATTCGCAGCGAATATGGTGAAAATAGTTTATTTATTTATTTATTAAGGTCATTGGTAGTTCGTATGAATAGGGATTTTTAAAAGATTGAAAATGAAGTGTTAGCTAAGTATTGTTGCGTTCAAAATGTGTTTTTCGTTGTGTACCCTAAAACCTTGAAGGTTCAGAACAAACGGAAAATCACTGACAAAACATCTAAAAGGTATATTCTGGTTTTACGTTGAAGCATTTGCTAACAACGTAAAATTAAATCAATGTATGTCAAAGTCAAAACAAGAACGTTTAACTTGGACATACCTGGAGCACTATCATAAAACAAAGAAGAATGCTTTTTATTACTTTTTCGACTATTAAAAGTCATGATTTTACTACGGAAACCTTGCTTTTGCTGGGTTTGTTGTGATTGTAGAGATGTGATGGCACTCATATGAGTGTTCAGTTTGTTAAGAATCAGTTTTGATATATGTATTTTTTAAAGTAAAAAAATTATTTATTTGACTTGTTTTATAACTAAAAGTCACTTGGTAAAAAAAAAAACAAAAAGTATGCAAGACTACAGCGAAGGGCTATCAACTCACGATATTACAGATTTAACAATCACACTCTATGATCATCACATTTGCCCAAGTACACCTGATTTTAGTGACAATATCTCCTTATCCCTTAATTTGATTTGCTTCTTTTCCTCTTTGGTCCAAAAAACCATCACATGTTCAATGTACAGTACATACCTGATACGTATGTACACGTACGTATATATATATCGATATGTACATATGTATCTATTTTTTTTGTTATCGAATTTAAAAGATTTTCGAAGAGGAATTTAAACGAATCAGTATTTATCATCAATTGCCTTATGAATCGTTATAGAATTAAGTTCCTTATATCAGATATAATGAACTCTACGTATAACGAATTTCTTTATAATGAACTTTAATAAAAATGTGCAGAAAATATACGAATACGATCTATGTTGATTATGTTGTTTTTATTTAACGTAGACATTACTTAGACATGAAACCTCGAATAATTAATGTTTATTTGTGCTAAACACTAACAGGATGGGAAAGTCCGAATGATAATAACTTGACGATTAGATTCTAATCATTTGTCTATAAAAACTATATATATATATATGGGTTATGTGTACCATTTAGGTTCGGATATAAATTCGGCATGTCCAGTGTAAATAAACACAAATTACTTACCTATTATTCTGAACCTTTCAGTTCGCTATAACAGATAACCAGGGTTCGGTCTAGCAAGAGGCGATCATCATAGTATTCTTTTGATTACTGGATTATAATCAGCAAAGATCAGCAAATCATTTTTGTGCGTAAAGGAAATAAATTATATTAAATCAAATTAGAACTTATCTCTTCCTCGTCGTTGGAGTCGTCCATTTCGGCACCCCTTTGTCGTTGAGGTCATCCTTTTCGGTTCTTCGTTCTTCATTAGAATTGTCGCTTCTTTCGTCGTGAAGTCGTCTTTTCTGGCTCTTTCTAATGCTCCTCAAAATCAAATTCAAAGCTTGAATTTCAATAAAATATTTGAACTTCAAATTTAAAATTTGATTGAAAATATCTTGATAACCGCATAGTTAACGGAATAAAAAAAAAGTTATTTGAATTCTAGAGAACTGTATAATTCAAATAAAAAAAATTCAATGAATTTGATTATGTAGTTATCAAAATATCTTCAAATTTTAGATTCGAAGGTCAAATATTTGATTGAAATTCAAGCTTTGAATTTGATTTAGTTCTTTCGTCGTTGGTATCGTCCCAAAAATTGTCTTTATTGGAATTTGTCTTTATTGGAAGTCGTCATTTCTGGCTCTTTGTCGTCCCAAATTTTGATTGATGATTATACGAAACTCCGTCTTATTGTCACCCTTTTAAAAGCTGCCACCCTTTGTTCTATTGGGTTTTCTATCATTTTCCCGACATCCACTTTCCCGACAAAACAAAATCCCGACAAAAATTGACCGAAACTATAGTTGATGCGGCCTGACTTGTCGGGATTTTGTCATTGTCGGGAAAGTGGTTGTCGGAAAGTGATGGTTATCACGTGCCTTATAATAAGTCGATATAAATTACGCGACTTTAAAAGGTGTTTATCGCGTTATTTCTGACTTGTCAACCAAACATTGACAGCTTTTAACAATACAAACAATCATGTTCTTTTTTTTAATTGGTAGACTTGATCACTTTCAGAATTTGCTTTCAAAATGTATAAGGTTCTCTACTAACTGGTCTTTATGTTTACTGAGCAAGGCTCGCTCACACCACAAATTACACGCCTAACTTCCTCTGCCGTAAGATGTCCAAATTGCCTTGATCCATCTCCAACAGTATTTCTTAATAAATACCAAAATAAGCTTTCAGTATTCTTTATTCCCGTTTGGTGGTTCAAACCAAACTTTCTTTGGATTTGTGAACGATGTAAGTGGACTGGAGATACGAAGCCTAATGACGAACAGGTTCGACAGAGAGAAGAAGCGGAGTTGACGTTACGACAACGGCAACCTTTACCAACTTGGGTAAAATCATAAAGTACTATTTTTATTTTTGATCACAGAACTATCATTAACTTTTTATCAAATTCCAGGGATTGAGAAAGTGTAAGACTTGTGATATGGAGGTAAAGCTTTCAAATGATCACGCGACTATGGTTATACATCGTGCTAGAAAGACTCTCGTAAATATTGATTTTGTAGATTAACGTTTCTGGTCGCATCAAGTACTGTCCATATTGCGGGAATCCGGTTCAAATCTAAGGTTTGAATGCGTTTAATGATAGGGTGACAGCTTCCGTTCGACATTACGTACAGTAAATGATATATATATATATTTTAATTCGTAGGTTATTTCAGGAAAAATTTGTTTAGAAAATTTACTTTTTTAAAACACTAAATAAATTTGCTTTGATAATATATATTTGAAAATAAAAATTATATTTATTATCTGGTAGATAAATTTGGTTGCTAAAATTTTTTAAGCATACTTTGATTTAGATATTTAAGTGGTAATTCTCAGTTTACGAGTATAAATTTCATAGTAAAAATCGACGGAGAATTAATTTCATATAATTTTGAAATGCCGACAATTTATAAAAATCATAAAAGCATGAAGAAAAATTGACAATAACGCGTGATCTACTAAACCGACTTTATGATTAGAATTGTAATAATTATAATATTTGTTAGAATTCAAGAAAAATTTGTTTAACTGAAAAACATTTTATTATAAGCTAGTTGCATTCCAACTCTATAAAAAAACTATATTAGTTTTTACCAATTTTATTATTAATTTGACTATTTTTTATACCTTTTAATTGTGATTTAAAAAAATATATTTTTTTACTTTGGCAAGGTTTGTTAATATTTTATTAAAAAGTTATATATATAGTTAAACCTTTATATAGTTATTTTTACAAATTTAATATAATTATTTTGATAGAATAAGATTAGTTTTAACACCTGGTTAAAATTATAAATTTTAACCACCTATTATTTACTATTAATTTTTATTTCAATTTTAAATTAAAATTATTAAAATTAGAATTAATATTATAAAAAGAGTTTAAGTTTAGAGTTAGAGTTAAAGATAGACTAGAATAAGGTTTTTTATAGTGCTAAATATTTTTACTTAATGCATCAAATATGGTTATTTAGTCTAGTTTTTAAGATAGTATAATGGGGTGGTTATATAACCAGGGAAGCAAATTAGCACTACTTATTTTGATAAATTTATTAACTTTTTTATTATAATTTTAATCTTTATATAGGGTGCCTCTAATTAAAAGAACCTAAGTTTTTATTTTTTTTCCACTTTAGCCATTTTGCTAATCTTTTTTATTATATTTAATTTGTTAATAAACAAAAAACACTTTAGATGTTTATAATATTTAGGTTTAACATTCTATAGTTACTTCTAAAAACATTTATAAATAACCAGTCATACTAACAGATGAATCTACAAAAATGCATTATAATAAATTTTAAAGAAACTTATTTATCCCAAAAAGCATTGTTAAACCATTGCCTTACAAAAGAATATTACCAATCTGATGTTATCTTCTTATAGAGAAGCAAAAAAAAGAAAAAAAATACTACTATAATACTAAAACTAATATTAAAAAGAAGAAAGTAAAAGTGAACCAAAAAAAAAATCTGACAGATTACAATTATAAACCTGTATTAGGCTTTTAAAAAATTATATATTACAAGATAAAAAAGCTTTGTATCTAATTTTATTCTAATAATATATATTTATATTAAAAAACCTGTTAAGAAAAAATGTCGTAAACTAAACTAAAAAAACTAGACAGAGTAGTGTTATAGAACAGTTTTATTTTATTAGTTTATTATTTTATCTTAGTATTATTTTATTATTTTGATATTTGTATTTTA